AACAAGCAATTGCCAGTAAATCTAGAATAGGAAAATCAAATACTCTGCCTATTTACATATGGTTCCCTGAAGCCATTCCTCATTAAAAATTATACTATTTCAGTCTTCCTACCAGAGATAGCTATTAACTAGAACTGGAAGTGAAAGTCAATAAATTTAGTATAAAAGAGTACATATCCTATACAAATTACTACTCAATGACCTCTACGCATGGAAATAAACCAAAGTGGATTGATTGGCTCATCATAAATCTATGTGAAGATTTCGTTGGGAAAAGGTATTGAGAGAAAAGTCCTGAAGAGATGTTAAGCTTCAATTTAATTTAATTTCAGAAGGAAATAATCACTTCTGTATCTGAACTCCCAATGCATTTTACCTGAACCTCTCCTGTGGCACTAAATGCTCTCCAACTTACATCCCTGCTCTTGTCACCAACTATGTGACCTTGGGCAAGTCACCTCCCTTCTCTCCACATCAATGTTCTGATCTATAAAATGAGAGGTTTGAACTAGGTAATTTCAAAACTCACTTCCAAATCTAACATTTCATCATTTATAATTACAGTCACTGGCGCACACCTTACCTCACCATTTCTCTCTAGGCAAAGAGGGTGTTTGATTTACCTTTGGAGTCCCCATACTGTCTAGAACAGCTCCTTGAACTTCCCTTAGCAAGTGCTCAACAAATATGTTCAAGGACACAGAAAACAGTACAGTAATCTGAAATTCCCATTCTCTTTGACCCCCTTTAAGCCCTTCCCAACCAACCATGATTTTAACCCAAATGGCTCTCCTCGCATCTACTCCTACTGTGGCTCAGGCACGACTATGAGAAGGCCAGAGGAACTAAACACATCACATACCACTCGGAAGAAACGCACCTACCAGAAGTTCCAAGGTACATGCTTTACAAAACATCTGACCCAAAATCACACACATAGCCAGAGACCTAGAAAAAAGGTTCCATTGCATAGAATAAGCTAGGCTAACGCATTTCAGTCATCGGAAAGTATGTGCTAGAAAGCTAAAGCAGATGTTGTAGGGGAAGAGAAGTGGAGTGTCTGTGTGCGCGCACGTGTGTGTGTGTGCGCGTGTGCGTGTGTGTGTGTGTGTGTGTGTGTGGAAGAAGGGTGTCGGGGGGTGTTAGGGCCTGCAAGGAAGAGGAAATACAGCATTCCTTTGACCTTTCCAGGAGACAGAAACCCTGGTGCCATAGTGGTTAAGAGCTATGGCTGCTAACCAAAAGGTCGGCAGTTGGAATCCACCAGGCACTCCTTGGAAACCCTATGGGGTAGTTTTACTCTGCCCTTTAGGGTCGCTATGAGTTGGAATAGACTTGATGGCAATGGGTTTGTTGTTGTTTTTTTTTTTGGTGGGGGGTGGTTTCCAGTAGATGGATACCCTAAAATAAAACAAAACAAAACAAAAAACAAATCCCAGAGGCAGCTATACTGCTTGGATAGAAAATACCTGTTCATAAGGTACATAGCCTAGGTGTTAAGACTTCAGAGCCAAAATGTTTAGATTCAAATCCTAGCTCTGTTAATTACTAGACATACACTTGTGGAAGTTAATCATCCTTCTGTGCCTCAGTTTCCTAATCTATAAAATGAGGGTAACAACAGTACCTCACTCAAAGGGCTGCAGTGAAGACAAAAGGAGTCAATACAGGTAAAATCTCTCTAACAGTGCCTAGCGTGCAGCAAGGGCTCAGTGAGAACTCACAGTCTTGCCATTACCATTAGAAAGAGTTCTGGGGGAAAGAGAACAAAGACACTACGCTGCTTACACAGATTCAAATTCTGCAACACCAACTCATGTTCTATCTTCTGGTGATAATTTAAAGGATTCCATCAGCAATATGGAAGCCCTGGTGGCACAGTGTTTAAGAGCTCACCTGCTGTCTTAGTCATCTAGTATGGCTCTAACAGAAATAACATGAGTGGATGGTTTTAACAAAGAAAAGTTTACTTCCTTACAGTAAAGTAGGCTAAAGGTCCACATTGCAGGGCATCAGCTGCAGGGGAAGGCTTTCTCTCTCTGTCGGTCTTCTTCTCATCAGCGTTCCCCCGGACTAGCAGCTTCTCTGCACAGGAACCTCAGGTCCAAAGGACTCACTCTGCTCCTGGTTCTTCTTTTTGGGGTATGAGGTCCCCCATTCTCTGCTTGCTTCTCTTTCCTTTTATCTCTTACAAGAGATAAAAGGTGGTGCAGGCCACACCCTAGGGAAACTCCCTTTACATGGGATCAAGGATGTGACCCGGGTTAGGGTGGTGTTACAATCCCACCCTAATCCTCTTTAATGTAAAATTACAATCACAAAATGGAGGATAACCACACAACACTGGGAATCACGGCCTAGCCAAATTGATATACACATTTTTTGGGGGACACTATTTAATCCATAACACCTGCTAACGAAAAGGTCGGCAGTTTGAATCCACCAGCCGCTCCTTGGAAACGCTGTGGGGCAGTTCTTCTCTGTCCTATAGGGTCTCTATGAGTTGGAAGCGACTCAAGGGCAACGGGTTTTTGTTTTATCAGCAATTTGAGAGAGCCTTGCTGGCGTAGTGGTTAAGGCACTCAACTGCTAACTGGAAGGTCAGAGGTTGAACCCACCAGCGGAGCAGGAAAAAGATGTGGCAGTCTGCTTCCTTAAAGAAGGCCTCTGAAGCAGGGCTGTACAATTTACAAGGTGCTAAAGGCCTGGTGTCACAGTGGTTAAGAACTTGGATGCCAACCAAAAGGTCAGCAGTTCGAAACCCCCAGCTGCTCCTTGGAAATCCTATGGGGCAATTCTACTCTGCCTTATGAGTCAGAATCCACTCTTTGGCAATGGGTTTTGGATCAGCAATTTAAGGAACCCTGGTGGTGCAGCAGTTAAGTGCTCGACTGCTAACCCAAAGATCAGTGGTTGGAACCAAACAGCCAGTCCAAAGGAGAAAGATGTGGCAACCTGCTTCCATAAAGATTTACAGCCTTGGAAACCCTATGGGGCAGTTCTACTCTGTCCTATGGAGTAGCTATGGGTCGAAATGGACTCAACAGCAATGGGTTTGGGTTGTTTTGTTTTGCCAGCAATTTATATCTGTATATTTTATCAGTCTTAACTACTCCCAGTCATAGAAACTATTCATTAAAAATTTTCATTCCTTTCTGAAACATACTCTAGGTTTCAAAAACTACTTGACCACCCACGCTCTGGGAGTACAACGGGACCATTAATCTGGAGCACGGAGGGCAAGAAGGAGCACAAAGACACCTCTGTAGCTGTCTCTGCTATCGCAGACCACCACTTAGGCTTCTGACTGTCGCCTCCTTAAAAAGAAACTAACAAACTCCATTGTTCGCTCACAGCAGAGTTCTTGGATGTGACAGTTCTTAAATCCCTGGCAAGGCCTTATTAAAGATCAGAGGATCTGGGCTCTTTCCATTAGAATAGCATCAGATCCCTTCAAGTGATTTTCTTAGCTCAGCATCATTACTCGAGATGCCAGAGAGACTGGTGACATTCCCAGCCACTGAGCTTGATTGTTTGGGGCTGCAGACATAAGGTGAAGTTGGAAAAGACATCAGCTATATCCTGTCAACATTCTGGAAACTGGAAAATGGTAAGACATCTAAAGAGAACCCTGAGGTTTGTTTCTAAGTGCTTTTTCCAAAACAGACATTTTAGTAAGTAAACAAGAAAGAAATGGAAAAAACGACAACAAAAAAACTCCAAGTAAACAACTAGAGTTATCAGAAAACCCACCCATTGCCGACGAAATGATTCCGACTCGTAGCAACCTTATGGGACAGAGTAGAACTGTCCCATAGGGTTTCCAAGGCTGCAAATCTTTACGGAATCAAATTGCCACATCCTTCTCCCTCAGAGCAGCTGGTGGGTTCGAATCATGGACCTTTCCAGTTAGCAGGCGAGCGCTTACCCAGTGTGCCACCAGGGCTCCTTATCAGAACGTAATGACTCCTAAAAGTTTCAGTTCATTCCGTGATGCAATATCTAGAATTCTGGTTTTCCAAATATTTTTCCATAAACAGGCAGAATTGCTGAAAAGGTAAAAGAATTAATACTATATATGTCTTGAACTCCTTTGTCAAATAATCAGGCAAAAAAGAGTCAGCAATGGTCAAGCTGTCCTCAAGATGTTCATCTAAACACCTTTTTGTAGTCCTGCTCTGAAAAACAAGGGGAACCCTGTTGTTGTGAGCCACTGAGTAGATTCCAACTCACAGTAACTCTACAGGACAGAGTAGACCCTAAACACTCAGAAACTGAACGATAAAAGAAGGAAAATTTGGGTAGGCCACTGAAAGGTAGCCTTAGCACTTGTGCCTCTGATCTTGGTTCCAAAGGGACCAGATTTCAGAAAATGCAAGAACATGTTCATTCGCCACAGCAACCCTATTAGGTCTAAAACTGCCAGACTGAGTGAGGGGCTAGAGTTTCATGAAAATAGAGGACTGCCTGCTTACAAAACCCACCACAAATGCTTCTAGCAAGGAAGGGCAGTAGTAAAACTGTACGAAGCCAAGAACAAGTCCGTATTTGACAGATCACTCCCATAAAGACAGGGATGTCAAATGTAATAAAATATTTTGGCAAGACTGGAAATGTGCTCCTGTGAGAACCTGAAAGATTTGACAGATTTTTGTTTTCCTGGTCCTTTATCAGCAAGTTAATTATAGCAACTGTACAATCTACTCTGAGCTTAGAGAAAGGCAGTTAGCTGTACGAAACCAAGATGCTGCTCTCCTGGGCATGGGAGAGACAGAATGACAGTACTGCTTACACGCGAAAATATTCCATGTCTGAGTACAGTATAACAATGAGCCAGAGAGCATAGCTAGATGAGGAAGAGGTACGTTCTGCAGATGCAGGAGTGTACCAAGACTAGGAAGGGCACATGTCACACTTACACACACACACATGCATACACACACGTATGTATATCTCCAGAGCATCAACAACTCTAGTCATCTTCCCAGAGAAGACTGTACCTTCACAGCTATAATTGTATACTGCCACCGCTGACCTTTCCACCAGATTCTCATCATGATGCCAGCTCACCGCCATTTTCCCCATCCCAAAATAAGGCTCCTCTTTCAGGTATGACATTTTCTGGGGATCCATGAAATTCAACAAAGTTACATTGTATGCTGCTCTGCTCTTAACATCCTCTTCATCTTGTCCATCAAAGGATGACCCCATACCAATTCTGGGGAAATCTGGAGCTATATACACTGGCAGAGCATCGCCACTAGATTTCTCTTTGGAAGTGAGTTCTTCCAAGGCCTGAATAGTCTCAGTCTGCAGATAGTCATTGAGCTTGAGGAAGGTTTGACAAGCAGCACCAATTTCATCCTCAGTATATTTTATAGTGGAACCTTTCACTGGCCAGGGTACCGTAAAGAGCCTGGTGTTCAGGTACTTGTAGGTGCAGCCTGGATTACCAATGAGGATGCGAGATACTGGAGTGAGCACATCTTTGCCCTGGATCCTAACCAGGTCCCGAAACAAGCAGCCATGCTTGTGCAGTGTGAGAAAGGCTTCTTGAACCTCTTTATGGAGCTCCTCAGGTACATTGTCAGCTTCTCGAAGAATGAGTTTAGGGTATTTCAGATGCCACTAAAACAAAACCAAAGCAAAAATACATATTTATGGAGAGCTATAATTTTACTATTTCCTAAGGTGTATTTCTTTACAAGCATTAGAAATAAAAAAAAAAAAAAAACTATAAGGTGGCATTTCTAAACAGGATTTATATCTCCTTAGCCAAAAACAGAAGAATAAATAAAACAAATGTCACCAAATTCTCCAGTCAAGATTTTCAAATCCCAGCACACACTGCTAATAATCTTCAATATAAGCAAAATAATAATAATTTGGATTTTGCTCTCCCAGGATCCCTCTGTCACAATTCTTCCCCACCCCTCAATCTATCTTCCAGCCTCTGGCCTAGAAAACACAATTTTATTAATTAACTGCTTACCATTAATTTAAGTGCTTACAATTAAGGAACAGTTTTAATTCTCCTGGAATCCGGATTTCTGGGGTCCCATGGAGTTGGGGTAACCTGCCAAGGCCATTGTCCATTAAATGTCCTTTTGAATCTTGAGCCCTGAAGAAACTAGTTTCTAGAAGTAAACTTTGAGTCAAATGACAGTCTAGATAAACTAATGTTTTGCCTTGGGCATTATGCTCTTTTGAAGAATCCAGTCAGTTTCAGGAAATAAGACTCCAGAGGTCAGACTGGAGCTGTTTTAAGGTAAATCAGTAATTATTTTAATTGTTCTTCAAGAACAAATGCTGTATGAAATCCTTCCTGACCACAAACTTAGCAGTTCTGTTCTGACCCTTTATCCATGGCGATGCCTATAAGATTGGGCATAAAAGTCTTTGGAACATTTTTTGACTCTCTAATTGAAATGTTACTCTGATTTACAAATCGTATATTAAATAAACTTCAATCAATTTCTATTACTGGCTTAGTTTGATTTTTATTTTAACACTATGTACCAAGCACTGGTCTAAATGATTTACATGCACTAACTCATTTAATTCTCCCAACAGCTTTATGAGGTAGTACGATTATTACCTCCAGTATACAGATGAGAATACTGAGGAACAGAGATGTTTAAAACTTGCCCAAAGTCACACGGTTGATAAATACTGGAACTGGAATTTGAACCCTCAGGGTTCCAGACTCTGGATCCCGAGCCTGAGTTCTTCTTAACCGCTAGATTGGACTTCTCAGTAAATCACAGCTGATTTCTGCTTCAATACTTTCACTGAAAGGGAATTCACTTCTCTTTGGAAGTTAGACACTAAATCCATCAACACACGAGCTGTGACAATTTTGTCACTACTGTAATACTAGTGCCCAGAACGCACTCATTAAATGCTGAACGAATGAATAAATGAGGTATTCAATAGCAATTCTAGAAAGCTGTAACAATTCTACTGGTGTCATGGGAGAATACTACAAAATAATTCCCTCCCCTGGTGGCACAGTGGTTAAGTGTTTCGTTAGCAGTTGGAACCCACCAGCAGCTCCGAGGGAGAAAGATGTGGCAGTCTTCTTCCATAAGGATGTACAAGCCTTGGAAACCCTATGGGAACAGTTCTACTCTGTCCTATAGGGTCCCTAAGAGTCAGAATCGACTCGACAGCGATGGGTTTGGTTTAGCTTAATACAGAAATACTTGGCTTACTGGCCTGACAGACACTAGAGAAACCCTGAGAGTATGGCCCCCGTACTAAGCTAAGTAATACAGTCACTCCTGAGGTTCACCCTTTAACCAAAGATTAGACAGCCCCATAAAATAAAATGAGACTAAAGGGGCACACCAGCCCGGGACAAGGACTAGAAGGCAAGAGGGGACAGGAAAGCTGATAACAGGGAACCCAAGGACTAGAAAGGGAGAGTGTTGACATGTTGTGGGATTGGTAACCAATGTTACAAAACAATATGTGTACTAACTGTTTAATGAGAAGCTAGTTTGTTCTGTAAACCTTCATCTAAAAAAAAAAAAGCAAGCAAGAAATACTTGCATTTACTAATGCAGTTTAAGACTGCATAAGTTTTTCAGCCACCACTTTGGGCCCCCAGGACTTGACATACAAATTGATGTCAAGCTAGAGTCCCCTGATTCTGTACAATGCAACCAGTTTTTTGTTAAACCTAAACACAGGATTTTACATTTACTCCTATTAAGTTTAATCGGATTTGTTTCCTCTCACTGTTTTAGGGTGAGTCCTGAAGGAAAGAACCAGACACAATCAACATGTTAACGTGTCCTCTGAGTTTTGTACTGCCCACCATTTTAACATACCTCCCCCTTCAATGAGGAAAGTGACTACCCTATTCTAGGGGCAAAAAGAAGGCAAGTTTTACCAGAGCATAACAACCTAGATGCCCATCAACAGATGAATGGATAAACAAACTATGGTACATACACACAATGGAGTACTATGCAACAAGAAAGAACAACAATGAATCTGTGAACCATCTCATAACATGGATGAAACTGGAGGACATTATGCTGAGTGAAATAAGTCAATCACAAAAGGACAAATATC